CGCCCCGTACTTAAGTGCTAGCCTTAATCCTGCAAATATGGCCTCATACTCGGCCTCATTGTTACTCATATCCGGTCACCTTATGGACTTGCGAATTACTTCGCATGTTGGAACCTTGAGTACGAGTCCCAATCCAAACCTTGATGTGTTGGATGTGCCATCGGTGTACAGGACCTAGGGGCCATATGTTTGGAGGGAAGCTTGTACGACTTCCCTTTCGGCTTCGAGCATTATTTTGGCACTGAAGTCGGCGAGCACTTGTGAGTTTATCGTCATTCGCGGCTGCTACGTGATATCGTGCTCACTAAGCTCGATGGCCTATTTGGCCAGCCTCCCCGACAGCTTGAGTTTATGCAAAGTTCTCCCCAGGGGAAAGGCTGTGATGACCGAGATAGGGGTGGCATTGGAAATAGGGTCTAAGCTTTCGTGAAGCTACGACCAGGACCAGAGCCAATTTTTCGAGGTGTGGGTACCTCGTCTTGGTGTCGATGAGTGTTTTGATAATGTAATAGATTGGATATTGTGTACCTTTGTTTTATCAGATCAAGACTGTGCTTACCGTTACCTCGAATATGGCTAGATAGAAGAGGAGCTGCTCCCCAGGTTCGGGAATTGAAAGCAAGGGTAGCGTCGATAGGTATGCCTTCAGTTCTCATAGAGCCTGGACGCACTTGGGAGTCCATTCAAGGTCGTTGTCCTTCTTCAGTACACCAAATAATTTGTGACATCTATCCAACAACCGCGAGATGAACCTTGATAGAGCGGCGATTCGACTAGTCATCATTTGGACTTGTTTTTTGGTGGTTAAGAGTTCCGGTATCCCCTCGATGGCTTTGATTTGGTCTGGGTTGACCTCAATGTGATCCTCTGGCCTTTTGGACTTGACCAACATGTCGTCTATATATACCTTCATGGTCTTACCGAGTTGGTCTTTGAACATCTTTGTTACTAATCTTTGATAAGTAGCCCCCACGTTCTGCACTCCAAATGGCATGATCCTGTAGGAATACGTTCCTTAGTGGGTGATGAACGTGGTCTTCTCATTATCTTCTTCCTCCATAAGAATTTGATTATATCCTGAGTAAGCGTCCAAGAAACTCAATAGTTCATACCCGGCTGTTGCGTCGATGAGTTGGTCGATAAGTAGCCCCCGCGTTCTTCACTCCAATCCTCCATTTACCATTTTTCTTTTTGACCATCACTACATTGGATATCCACTTGGGGTACTTCGACTCCCTGATGGAGTCGTTCTCCAACAATTTTTCCACCTCCTCGTGGACTGCATTGTTGATGGCGGAGTTGAATTTACACATGACTTGTCTTACTGGGGATGGAATGGGTCAACGTTTAATTTGTGTGTGGCGATTTCCTTTGGGATGCCCGGCATATCTGCATGGCTGAAAGCAAATAAATCTGCATTGGCTATTAAGAATTGACTGGATTTACCTGGTTCCCCAGAGTTTGCAGCCGATATAGGACTTCTTGCTATGGTCTTTAAGGTCCAATTTAATGGGGTCGAGATCTTCTATGGTCGAACCTACAGCCTCACCATGTCGGGATCCATGTTGACGTCCCTGGTCTCTTCTTGCTTTGACCTCGACACTGTTGATTGCTATGCCTCTTTTTCTTTGTCTTTTTTGTTGGGTGGCCGTGTTGTCCAAGGCAATGCGGTAGCATTCTTGGGATGTGCGTTGTTCCCCACGTATGCTGAATATTCCCCATAGAATTGAAAATTTAATTATTTGGTATATGTTGGAGGGGACGACTCTCATAGGATGTATCCATGGTCTCCCCACTATGGCATTGCACGCAGTAGCATGGTCCATGATATGGAATGTCATCTACAGAGTGACGCCACCATCCAGGACGGGGAGTGTAAATTCCCCGGACGTCCGCTCAGCTGCATTGTTAAAACTGGTTAGCATGATGCAGCGCGGCACTATCTTATCCTCGAGTCTCATTTGGGTAAGGACTCGGGGATGGATAATGCATGCGCCACTTCCATCGTCCACCATGATACATTTGACATCGGTATCTAAAATGCGTAAAGTAATAACGAGGGCATCATTATGAGGAAAAGTCAAATTGTCGGCATCCGACTCGTGGAAGATGATACTTTCTTCAAGTTTGTCATACCGTTCGCGGGTGATGGACTGCTTGAGATTGTGAGAGGTGGTGAACTTCATACAGTTGATATAGGCATCGTCATCACCGCCGATGATCATATTGATAGTAAGTTGGCGATGGCGGGCCCTGATATTCACATTCTCTGGCAAAGTTGGTCCTCCCCTTATCGCTTAACAGTTCTTTGAGGTGCCCTTGCCGTAACATGTTTACATCTTTTTGTCTGAGGGCAATGAAATCTTATGTTTTGTGCCCGCGTTCCTGGTGGAACTCACAGAGGGCGTTGGATTTTCTGGTGTTCGGGTCCGATCTCATCTTCGGTAGCCACTTCACATTTGTTTAGAGTTTCTCAAGTGCGTAGACTATTTCTGTAGGTGACACACAAAAATTATAAGCAGATAATAAATGAGGCATACCTCTGTCATTCCGATGAATCCATGTCCTTGGCCTGGATGAGCCTTCTTCGTAGCGGGAGGAGGGTGCGAAGACCGCCCCGACATATAGTTGATGTCATTCCCTGTTAGGTCACAGAATCGGGTGATCTCTTCTGGTGCTGTCTCTTCGTTCTTTTTTGGATTCGGCTTGTACCGAGGTTAGCTGGTGAGTTGCTCCATTGAGGTCGTCCTCGTATGCTCAGACCTCAGCACAATAAGCATTGTGGATTTCGTCCCAAGTGGTTGGAGGATACTTCATCAATCAGCTTAACAGTTTTCTAGTTGCTCTTGAATTGTCCCTACTCAGCCCGTTTTGGAAAGTTGCGACCACCATCCCTTCGGATACGTTCGGCAGAGTCATCCATACTTTATTGAATCGGGCGAGGAAGTCCCTCAGCCCATCTCCCAAGGACTGCTTAATAACAAATATGTCGTTGAATCTTACTTCGGCCTTCTTGGCTCCGGCATGGGTGGTTATGAACTTATCGGCCATCTGCTTGAAAGTTTTTATGGAACGAGCTGGTAGTGGCAAATACCATGTTAATGCCCTTCCTGTAAGGGTTTCGCCAAACGTCTTCAGCAAAATGGAGGACACTTGTTCCTTGGCGAGGTCGTTGCCTTTTCACGACGGTGATATAGTGAGTCACATGATATTTAAGATCAGTCATTTCGTCGTATATATTGAGGTATGACGGCATTTTGAAGGTCTTTGGTAAGGCATGCGGGGATGCATCATCGTTGTACGGTTGCTCTACGAACCTACCGGCGTCCCTTCTCGGCAGCAGCTTAAGGAGCGCCCGGTATCTTGTCAACTCGTTCTTGGTGTTCTTTCGTCTGGTCTCGGTATCATTCTCCATTTCTTTCATCCTCTTTAGAATGGAAGCAAGGGCGTTGTCACATGCACCGTCTGTAATATTGTGAGTTATACCTGTCGTTGGAGGGTTTGGTTGGTTGCACTGCTCATTTGTTTGTTGTATCATTGTAGACATATAAAATTTATTGGGTCTAATCCATACAAAATTTGGATTAAATTCATTTGGGTTAAATAATTAATTTGGACTATATAAATTAAAATTAGTCCATTTTATTATTTTCAATCCCAAGGTCCATTTTATATTAAGGCCCAGACTCATGCCATGTGTCAAGTGATTTGGAATGTCCAGTCAAACCTAAAGCCAACAAGATGATGCCACTTGTTAAATGATGTAGAAATTCCAGTCCAAAATAATGAGCCAATCAGAATCAAGTAAAAGAGTTCATATGTAGCTGGACTGTCCATCCTCTACCATTATAAATAGAGGGGTTACATAATTCTCTAAGGACATTGAGAGTTGGAGAAGAACATCCCGAAATTGGTGAAGGCATCTACAAACAGAGAGATCAATCATCAAGTGCATAGTTCTTCAACAAAGGAGCGATCAACGGAGTTCTTCCCGGAGATCAACCCGAAACAATAAAGTGCTGCTCGATGTTCTTGGCGGTTAAATACATCACAAGGAGGTCTACAACGTCCTACATTCGATAAAGACGATTCTCAAGCCCTCGAATCACGGAGAATTTCATAGAGGAGAATCAAGGGATAGAAAGAATTGTACTCATAAATATTTATCAATAAAATCTCTTCTTCATATTATTTGTGTTGCAGTTTCTTTTCCGTACGACGAAAATTTGATGCGACCAAATTTTGGCACGCCCAATGGGACCAATTCTGCCCTTCATCTCTTCCTCTTGCAAGTTGAAAACTGCAAACTTCATATCTATTGCTGCAATGGCCTTCCGCAAGTGTGATGATGTTTCATGCAAAGATGCTATTGCTGCCTCCCCCGCTGAGTTCAGTCATGTTGGCCCAATCACTCAAAGCAAGTTCAATGCTAGTGGCTTGGATTTATCTGAATACTTCGCCTCCTTGGAGATGGCAAAGAAGAGAAGATCTCATATAACGCCCGCAACCGCAATCTCTGGGGGCAATACCCCATTCTTGCTATTTGACGAACTTTCTCAAGCAGTCCCAAACGTTGGTGGATTTGAGGATTTAGTGGATTCTCCAGTTTCAACGAAAGTCAACGCCTTGATGACTGACGCAACTAACGTGGACGAAAAGTTTGCCATGATGGAACAGACTATAGAAGTTTTAAAGAAGTCAATTGATGACAAAGACCTTCAAATCGCTCAACTCATGAACAAATTGGAGATCTATGCACCTGGAGAGTCGAGCCATGTCCCTTCTCAGTCACTTGACTTCACCTCGCAAAAACGGTTGTTGAGGAATCACTTGCCAAGTTCAACATTCAGAAGGAAAAGCAATCCACTTCGGTTGCGGCATTATCTGTCCAACAATTGCAAGACATGATAATAAACACCATCAGAGCTCAATATGGCGGATCATCACAAAGTTCGTTGTACTACTCTAAGCCTTATACTAAGAGGATTGATTGTCTAACCATGCCAACCAATTATCAACCACCAAAGTTGCATCAATTTGACGGCAAAGGAAACCCAAGGCAACATATTGTCCACTTTGTCGAGACTTGTAGCAATGTTGGGACGTATGGTGACCTGTTGGTAAAACAATTTGTTCGTTCTCTAAAAGGGAACGCATTTGACTGGTATATTGACTTGGAGCCCGAGTCCATTGATAGATGGGAGCAACTTAATAAGGAATTCCTCAATCGTTTTTATAGTACTCGAAGAACTGTAAGCATGATAGAATTGACAGGCACCAAGCAAAAGAAGGACGGGCCCGTGGTGGATTACATCAATCATTGGAGGGCGTTAAGTTTGTACTGCAAGGATCGCCTTTCAGAAATATCTGCTGTGGAGATGTGGATTCAAGGGATGCATTGGGGCCTTTTGTACATCCTACAGGGGATCAAACCGCGAACTTTTGAAGAACTTGCAACGCGAGCTCACGACATGGAGTTAAGCATCTGCAAGCCATGAAAAGGCATCTCCATTTGCTGATCAGAAGGAGTTCAAGAAAAATGTTGCATTAAAGAACCAAACCAAAGAATCTATGGCGGTGAAAGCAACTTTTGTGAAAGTTATGACTAAGAAAAAGGTGAAGGAGGATAAGACCCGAGTCAATATCCCAAAGAGGAGAAACGTCGTCCAACCTTGAAGGAATTAGAGGTGAAGGTTTATCCGTTTCCAGATTTAGACGTACCCACGATCCTTGATGAGTTGCTGGCCAAGAAAGTCATTGATCTCCCTAAATCAAAAAAGCCTGAAGAAATTGGTAAAGTTAGCGATCCGAAATACTGTAAGTTTCATCGCGTCATTAGCCACCCTACAGAGAAATTCTTCGTCCTAAAGGAGAAAATCATGGCTCTTGTAAGTGAGGGGAAAATCATCGTAGATATGGATGAAACAGTAGAAGCAAACTATGCAAGTGTAGTGCCCAAAGAAAAGAAGCGTTCAAGGTTGCAGAACATGTCAAGCAATGCCTTCTTACAATTTGGAAGTTTCGAGCCTGTCGAAGTTGAGCTTCTAAGGAAAACTCTTGAAGGTTCACTCGAGTTAGACAATCACTCCAAATACAATAACGATGAGGTTTGGACTCCAGTCACTCGCAAGAAGCGAAAACATCAAGCAATTTTGAGGCTATGAATTTCTAAGCCAAGAGCGATGATGAGCAATGTGGATAAGCTACACCCGCCAAGAATTATCAAATCTTCTATTAGCAAGAAGATTAACAGTGCCTTATCACCGAAGTTTCGCAAGCCCATCACATTGCATGAATTCTTTCCTGGAAAATTCCTTTATGGAGGTCATGTTGGTGCAACTCATGTAGTTTCTAGTGCTGATGAAACAAATGAAAGCAACGATGAGCTTGATCCGATGAAACCATAAGAACATCATGATGACGAAAAAGTTTTCACATGTTGTGCAACAATTTCCTTCACAAATAATGACTTATTGCTGGGGTCTAAGCCACATAACAGACCTTTGTTCGTTGTAGGGTCCATTCAGGAACAACATCTCAATTGCATACTTGTTGATGATGGTTCGGCTGTTAACATCATGCCAAAGATGGTGCTAAAAAACCTTGGGATGTCTATCGATGAGCTATCCAAAAGTAACCTAACAATTCAAGGTTTCAACCAAGGAGGACAAAGAGCCATATGTATGATCTGCATAGGATTATCCATTGGTGAGATGAAGTCAAACACCCTGATTCACCTCATAGATACTAAAACGTCATACAATTTGTTGCTTGGACGTCCTTGAATTCATGATAATAGAGTGGTATCGTCTACTTTGCATCAATGTCTGAAGTGCATAAGGGATGGGGAGATAGTCAAAATTAATGCAGACATCAATCATTTCACTAAGACAGAGTCATACTTTGCAGATGCAAGATTCTACCTAGATTCTTGTGAACCGAATGTGGAGAAACCATCATCAGTCGATGAAGATGATGTCAATTCAGAAGAAGAAAATTAGGCTCAACGGACTACTGCCAAGCTTTCTAAGAAGAGAACTGAAGAAGTCTCCATTAAGCTATCATCATTTGAAGATGACATACAAACAAAGGCTGATAAGGAGCATCCAGTTTTTCACTATGTTCCGCGTGGGCGTCGAAAGAAAGGGCAACCTTTGTTACATAAATGTACTGCAAAGAAGCAAATGAGTCACATAGCGATCCAAGATTTGAAGGAGCATATAACCGTTCCAATTTCACAAATCCCATCTGTGACTTGTGAGTTTGCTAAAGGCAATATCCAAGCTGATAAAATACAAGGTCACTTTGATCCTAAGGCCTTCATACTGCTTGAAAAGTCTGGTTATGACTTCTCCAATCCATCAATACTAGGATAACTCAAAGACGAAGTCACTGGTGAAATGATACATGGTCTCAATGAGTCCCAAATGAAGTTGAGAAAGCAAGGGCACTACGTCGCCACTCCAAATTTTGGGTAGGGATTTAGTTTGGCAGAGCCTCTTCGAATTTCATCTAAGAGAATAAAAGATATAGCTTCATCACAACATACCTCGGTAGAGGAGATGAAGGAAGTTAAGGGAAAGAAAATAAAACAACGGGCCTCAGTGTTTGATCGCATTGGAGGCTCAACCCCTCGGGTCTCGGTGTTTGAAAGGCTAAGTCACAAAGGTGAACATGTATCTTCCAAACATCTAAAGGAAGTTTCCACTACCTCAATGACCTCTATCTTTTGTCGTTTGGGAACCACATAGAAGTTACCATTTAGAAAGATATTGGCAAAATATAAGGATCAAGTCCATGAGGTGCGGGATCATTTTGAAGTTGTTGCTGACAAAGAAATATATAGTGTTTTCCCATCACGTATGAAGAGGAAGTCTATTTTGTCAATATCCATAGATGGTCCACTGAAGATGCAAAGGAGAACCATTTTTTACACTTGCCATCCTCATAAAGAAGCAGAGAAAGAGAAAAAATCCATGCCGACCATCCAAGGGAGTCAAAGAGAAAAGTCAGACTTTGTGGAAACATCCTATCACATAACTGTGGAAGATAGCACATGCCTTGACATTGATGATGAAGTAAACGAGGCTCCCCCTAAACTAGAAGATGGCGGGCAATCAACTATGGATGAGCTTAAGGAACTCAATTTAGGCACTCTGGAAGATCTACGCCTCACCTTCATTAATGCGCTTCTTACGCCTCAGGAGGAGGAGGAATACTCCAAGTTATTGACCGAGTACAAAGATGCCTTCGCTTGGTCGTATAAAAAAAATGTTGTGAAGCAGTCACAACACATGTTTCGACCCGAGCTAGTACCATAAATTGAAGTCGAAGTCAACAAGCTCATCGAGGCAGGATTTATTCGAGAGGTAAAGTACCCATCATGGATATTGAATATTGTACTTGTCAAGACGAAGAATGGTCAAATACGTGTTTGTGTTGACTTTTGAGACCTAAACAAGGCATGTCTCAAAGATGACTTTCCGCTACCAATTATTGAACTTATGGTTGATGCTATAACTGTCACGACCCAAACCGATGGGTCGCGACGGGCACCCGGTACCTTACTCAACTGAGTACCAACATAACGTATCTTTCGTATCATTCTATCATAGGTTAATAAACCTGAGTAAAGTATGAGGGAATGCAAACTTACACAAATGATATACTGGCCTATAAGACAAAAATTACACTGAACATAGGCCGACAAAGCCATACAATCTTTCACATAAACGACATATGTCTACAAGCCTCTAAGAGTACATAAATATCATGAAGGTCGGGATAGGTCCCCGCCATACTAATCAATACATGTCCTAATCATACTGACCACATAAGCAACTCCGGAGTAAATTAAGCGCACCAACATCTTCCGCTAAGCTGATAGCCTACTTGGAGGACTATCAACCTGTCTATCGGGACCTGTGGGCATGAAACGCAGTATCCCCAGGCAAAAAGGATGTCAGTACAAATAATGTACCGAGTATGTAAGGAATAAAAATCAGTAAATAATAGACATGAGAGAAACATGGAGTAAAAGACTCGACATGTAAGTCTGAATAACTCTGTACATCAGGAAATACTCATAGTGTCATGCATATACATATGAATGTCATGTCGTGCATAGGTACACGTGTTCATAACATCATAAAGCCACTGAGGGCATCCCATCATATCATCTCGGCCACTGTGGGCAAAATCATCAACGTATACCAGCTGATCAGGTGGTGGTGTGTATATAACGCCGTAACCTTTTTCTATATCCCATATATATATATATATATATATATATATTATACATATATATGCGTATATAACTTCGTCTTGTCATGGGTAAATGTACATGCATAAATAAATGTAATACATGAGAAGTACGTCAATGAAATCTTTCGGAATGCCATAAGACCAATATCGAACTACTTGACAATTGAAATTTAAGTAAGTTACTAATAAGATAAGTATTAATTACTCGCCTACTACACGTGCAATATGGTAAAGCTAATTAAGAATTTCAATACACCAAACTCCAGACTAACCTTAACCATTATTCCAACATAAGGAGGACAAGAATCTAGGTAATAAAAAAAATGTACATTTAGATATTTCACTTACTATTCTCCCCATAATAATTAATAGAAAATAATATATGGGGAAGCTTTAGCAAAACAACGTAGATAGCATTTGAAAAAGTTGGGGAAAATATCTTGAAACTGCTAATTTTAACTTTTATAATATTGCAAAATGAATAATTCTTTAAGACAAGAAATAGAGTTTTAGAATTTCTACGATCTCCAATTCAAGTATACATATGACATACAACCCAGATAATGATAATAAATTGACATAATGTATATAAAATCCCGCATACTGCTGAATATCTAGTGCTCTGCAAGTTTTGGCCATGCACTTACACAATTCATATTCTTAACGAACGAAAAATATGAAATGTTTGTATTTCTCATAGAACGTATAATATCATGTAACAAACTTTATCAACTTACGTATTTTTTGAGACCCATGAGCAGACGATAGAATAATAAGACATATGGAAATTCAAGAACATAGACATCTCTAATCTTTCTATAAATAGAGTCATTTATGGAAGTTGTGCATTTACTCGTTTCGTTCGTGTCATATAGATCATGCCAAAAATAAAGAAGGGATAAACTTAACATACCTGAGTCGATTCTCTTGAGAAAGATTACACCGTACTCCTTTAATATTACAAAATCTCACGTTAATTTGAATTGTTGAAGGCTTGGGCATTGCTTATATGATATATAATATGCAGATGCATATTAGAGAAATGATTTAACGTTACTTTTGGTGTAAGGAACACTTGCTGAACTCTTTCTTAAGAGATGTAGGAAATGATTTTGATTTTTGAGATGTTATTCTTAACTTTAGGTGGGCCCCTCGTTGCAAGCTTAGTGTCACTTTAAGGTGTGGCACATTTCCACTTTCATTAATAGTTATTAGAGAACATAGGAAGGCTTGCCACGTTGGGGGGCGGGGGTTTAAGTCTTATCCTAAGTTTATTAATTAATTACCCACTAACTTTAATTAACTTGTTAATTTTCCCATTAACCAATAATCTACATAATTAAGAATTATATCAAATTACTTAAAATCTTACTCACTTTATACACCTCACGAAATGTCAAACTAAGGGGTCATGTGGTACCTTGAATGATCATGTGGTACCTTGAATGGAATTATTCCATAACTAAGGGGTATTATAGCTTGGGCCGTATTTTATCCCAAAATGTCAAACTTCGACGAAATTCATTTTTTTCTTCAATTTGCTTGCCCTCCCACCTTCACAAATTTACTCATCACTTGTTTGAAATATCATAATGCTTATAATCTCAAAATAATCCCATTTTTGAACTTACATCGATTAACTTACGACGAAACATTAACACACAAAAATGCGGGATGTAATATCTCATTTTCGAGCTTCCATCAATTTACTTATGGCGTACTTTCACGTACAAAAATATGGGGTGTAACATCATTCCCCCCTTTGGAACATTCATCCTCGAATGTTGACTGATATACTTATCATTTTCATCACCCATAGCTCTTGCGAATACTTTAATACTCTCCTTGCCATTTAGGTAACTATTTTGTGAATAAATCCAAAGGCCAGGGCATTCCCCTC